AAAAAAAAAAAAAAAAAAGGCTACTTTCAAAGATGCTTCTGAAAACGAACTTATCATTTTGAAAATTGGAAAACAACAGGAAATAATAGAATATTTCTTCTTCCTTTCTTATATAAACTGAACCACCAGGTAACCAAGTATGAAATCAGAGCAAGCTTCTCTATAGAAACATTTTAGCAATAAATAAAGAATAAGAAAATGAGAAATAATAAAAATTTGCAATCTCTAAGAGTTAGTGGATTTAACTACTGAGTATCAATAGATCCATAATATCACAAAAAGAAAAACAATCAGACATTATGTATTTCCTGATGAAAGAACATACCATCACCTACGAAGCTTTGACAATAACATCAAATCTGAATCTGTAAGAAACACTGTAAGGTCAAACTATACAGTACCAGTTTCATCTACAAATAAACTGCATGGGAAATCAATGGGGAAAAAGATAAGCGAAACTAAAGCACACTGTTTAAGAATGTATCCTTTGGTATTAAAATCACTTTTTTTAAAAGCCAGAAAATGATTATCATATAAATACTTTTTGTGGGGAAGATGGAGTTATGATTGGAATGGGGCACATAAAAGGCTTCTGCAGTGGCTGGCAAAGTTCTATTTCTTGACCTGTTGGTATTAGAATACCAATCTTAGTAATAATTCTAAACTTTAATAATTCAATAAGTTATATTTCTTTTGAGGTGTTTTTAAAAGATGAGGTGGTGTAACAGTGTAATATTAAAAAACAGAGGTTTTTCCAACAGCAGAGCTTGGGCAAATTAACACTTTTAAGCCTAAATTTTATCAACTATTAAAGATAACAGTATCTTGTAATTCCCAGGACTATCGAAAGGATGTAAATAGAATAACATATGCAAAACACTCAAGCAGTATGTCTGGTTCACATAAAATATCCAATAAATGTTTTAGCTATTATTTCATTTAAATATTCCATTAACATAACTTTTAAACAAAACTTGGAAAATCAAGTAAGTTTTCTATGTACTGCAATGTAGTCAGAAAATATAGCCAGTGTGACATGACTGGGTATTTGTGGAGTCATCCCTTTGTAGTTTAATATGTGGTTAGTTTCTATAAATGTTTCATGTCTGCTTCAAAGCAACATCTACATTCTACTTTTTAGAGTAAAATTTAAATATATCTAAAATATCAAGTATGTTAAAATATCAAGTCTGTGTGTTCAAATATTCTATACCTTTACTTTTGTTGGCAGTGGTGGTTTCATTTGTCTATTGTCCTTTTTTTTTTTTTTAATATATCTTTATTGATTTCAGAGAGAGGAAAGGAGAGGGAGAGAGAGAGAGAGATAGAAACATCAATGATGAGAGAGTCATTGATCGAGCCCACAACCCAGGCATGTGCCCTGACCGGGAATCGAACCCCGAGTGCCTGGATCCTAGGTCAACGCTCAACGGCAGAGCCACACCCGGCCGGCCGGCCGGCCTATTGTCTTTTGAAGGAA